ATAAATACATGACTTTAAAAATTTAGAATATTATTAAACAAAGTATACTACATACAGATATAATTTGGAATTACACTAAGAGGTGACTAAAGAACAGATTGTGACAACAATTATAAACCAAAAATCAACGATGTTATAATAAATATCTTAGAATATTATACATTCATATGCTGGCAATATATGTGCTCTAAAATATTATTTTATTGCTAAAATTATTAACAATGAATGACAAGTTCAATGTTTTTTTGTTTTTTTTTATGAACAGAGTCTCTCTCTTGTTGCCAGGCTAGAGTGAGTGCCGTGGCATCAGCCTAGTCACGCAACCTCAAACTCCTGGTCAAGCGATCCTCCTGCCTCAGCTCCCGAGTAGCTGGACTACAGGATGCACCACCATGCCCGGCTTTTGTATATTATATATTCAGTTGGCCATTTTCTTTCTATTTATAGTAGGGCGGTCGGTCTTGCTCAGGCTGGTTTAACTCCTGACCTTGAGCAATCCGCCCGCCTCGCCTCCCAAGAGCTAGGATTACAGGCGTGAGCCACAGCGCCCGGCCCGACAAGTTAATGTTGAAGAGACCCCTATCAGAAACTATTCTAAGACAAAAGGTATAAACAGTGTTGGGTTTAACACTGATAATAAACACTTATCTATTTTGAGCTGGCTAAGGAAAGTGGGTGGTAAAGAGACAGAACATATGCTTTCAATGAAAATGTCATAATCATATAAGAATATAGTGGGATTCTATAGCACTGTAGCTTTTATAACACTAAAACTTTATTCAAATCAGTTTAAAAGGGCCAAATATAGAAGAGCCCTGAATGAGCTAGTCAATCATTGCTCCAATAATGCTACAGCAATTTTCTGCCACAAGCAAGGAAACTACGTATTAAAATCTGCTGTTGATATCTAGGAAGAAAGAGGAATTGGTCCATTTGGAATTAAACAGGACATACTGTCAACCTTAAGAATTATGAAAAATTGGCAGGGCACGGTGGCTCATGCCTGTAATCCTAGCACTCTGGGAGGCTGAGGCGGACAGATCACTCAAGGTCAAGAGTTTGAAACCAGCCTGAGCAAGAGCAAGACCTCGTCTCTACTAAAAAGGTATAGAAAAAATTATTGGCAACTAAAAATATATAGAAAAAATTAGCTGGGCATGGTGGCGCATGCCTGTAGTCCCAGCTACTCGGGAGGCTGAGGCAGCAGAATTGCTTGAGCCCAGGAGTTTGAGGTTGCTGTGAGCTAGGCTGACACCACGGCACTCACTCTAGCCTGGGCAACAAAGCGAGACCCTGTCTCAAAAAATAAAAAAGAATTATGAAAAATGAAAATAAAGATCATTTAGTAGTTTAATCCATAAAGCAGTAGCATTGTACGTGTTGTACTACCAGGAATAAATATTGTATCAACTTGGTAATCTAACTCACTTCTAACTCCAGATTCAGAAAACTTCAGAGCCAAAAAAAAAAGTCTCAATGATTATCTTAGTCAAGCCTAACTCCCTTATTTTAAAGGAGAAAAGTGAAAGCCAAGATTGTTACACAACTTACAAGTTAGCAATACAATAACCAAACCCAAAATCTCTTTGATACTAATCAAATCAACATGTTCTATCTTCATTTTGTTTTAAAGATAATTTCTGGGTTATACAGTAGATTGAAGAGTGGAGTTTTGAAACAATGAATAACCTGGCTGAATACACTGTTCCCATTATTTCATTAATAATTTCTTCAAGCTCAAAATCATCAGCAGTCTTCAGGTATGTAAATAAAAAAGTAAATAATTAAGGTACAGGTTAAGTATACCATATCCAAAATGCTTAGGACCGGAAGTGTTTTGGATTTCAAATTTTTTTCAGATTTTGAAATATTTGCATTATCCTTATTGGTTAAGCATCCCTAACCTAAAAATCCAAAATCTGAAATGCTTCAATGAGCATTTCCTTTGAACATCATATCAGCACTCAAAAAGTTTCAAATTCTGGTGTATTTCAGATTTTGAATTTTCAGATTAGGCATACTCAACATATATATTTTCAAATTTATGATGAATCCTTTCACTCTTCTGGACTTGTGAGAGGTGTGGCACTTGTTAAGTAGTCATGAATCATTATATTTTTCTTTGTTCCCCATCCCTCCCTAGAGCTTAATTTAAGCAAAGATTTGAATCATCATAACCAAAGACATTATATGAGATGTGAACAGAAGATCTCAAGAATTATCCATTTCTGGAATGCAGTAACAATACCTTCAATCTCACTCTTGTGTTCTTTTTCAAAAACATTTGATAAAAGAATCAGTTACATAAAGTAAGCAATTGCTGATTAAAGAAGTGAAACTTATTTTACCAATAAGATAAATCAGAAACCCCAAGGAACTATTTCCTGAAGCTCTCCTTCAACTATAAAATAAACATTACTTTATTTGAAAAAAAATTTTTTACTTCATTTGAAAGACCAATTTGAAGAATATTTTTGAAGAGTTTTTGAAAAATATAAAAGATCATATAAATAACAAGGACAAAATATGAAATATAGGCCAAGCATGGTGGGTTATGCCCATATTTCCAACACTTTGGGAGGCTGAAGCAGAAGGATTACTTGAGCCTAGGAGTTGGAGGTTATGGTGGGCTATGACTGCTGTGCACTCCAGCCTAAGGCAACAGAGCAAGACGCTGTCTCTAAAAAAACATGGAAAAAAAAAATCCTAAAAAAATAAATACACCTTAAAGGAATAAATTAGAGTTCATTACATTAAAATAACAGAATAGAAATGCAAAAAACGCAAAACACACATCTTTATAACAAAACAATCTATCTAATTCAAAAATCAGACAACTGGTCTCACACAATGATCTCTTTATTTCAGGCAAAAAAGAATTTATAGTTTCTTGAATTTCACTGGACTGTAATAGGATTTGAACTCATAAACAAAGTCTCCTTTTATATACCAAAGCTACTCTTATATCCTAACTATAAACGTATTTGCTATTTAATTTTTAGAAATTATAAATAACAAAAAAAATAATAAATCATTTCACAAGACTTTCATTCAACTACAAATATGCTTAATGAAGATTTTATGTTTTTGTTGCAGGTGCAGCTTTTTCCTGAGAGAAATATATATAGTTCTCATATGAGAAATATACTTATATTTATATATATAAATACACCTATTTTATATATATGAAGTATATATATCAGAAATACTTCTATCACCGGTGTTTTAATATTTGTTTTGGATAATTTCTCTAAAATATTTTAATTATGTTTAGGTTTCCTCTGTAGAAAAAACACTTCCAGAGTGAATTAAATGGCTACTGATTCAAAGGCTAGTATAAGCACACCTAATTCCACTGCTATCTAGTAGATGAGAGATAGAGCTTAAAAGGGAAAAGAAATAAAATATATGGTAGAGAAGTATGGAGGGTGCTAAAGTGGTAGACACAGTAGCACTTGGGAGCTCCAGGACATACAACAGAGTTGGCTATCAGAACAGGCAAAAATAGAGGCCAGGTACCAGGGAAGAAGAAACCCCAACATCACATAATGAGAAGACGCACACACTCCTGAAGTAAAATATTGATCAGAAATCCTAAAAGGGAAGCTATGCCTTTTAACTCTTTCATAGAAAGCAAGCCCTCAATAAAAAGGTATAAACTAGTATGTGCCCCAAATGTCTATGAGCTAGTTTCAGGTAGGAAAATTCCCTAGAGCCAGTGTAAGAAATAAAAAGCCTCCAATTCCCATAGAAATAATGTTGTATAAAATAAAGCACATAGCAATTAATTCACATACCAACTCCAAAAATTAAAACATTTAAAAACAAAGTAATGTCTTTTATGCAATGCAGCATAAACTTCCACTGAAAGTTCTTTTTCTTTCCGTGTGTATCTTTCTAAAGTTACATAAATTATTGGTTCTATTTCAAATTTATACAGCATATTGGAGCATATAAATAAATTGGAGCAATAAAACAGCATATTGGAGACCCAAAGTATTTACCATAAAGCAAAACCATTTTAAACTATACATCAGTTTTTTATTCTTTGGGAAAAAATGGCCTTCCTTTTATTGACTATATGCACTATTTCTCATCCCAAATGTGGACTAATTATAGGATCAAGGTACCAGTCACAACTGTTCTTCAAATCAGCAGTGAATCTGGTATGATCTTTAGACTGGATCTGACCAGAAGAGCCACATTTGGAAGATTTGAAATGGAAGTAAGAAAGAAACTAATGTGTATTCTCTGTGAAAGGTTTCTTGGTCAAGGTACAGAACAAGGCACACTTTGTTCTTTGGTGGTAACAAGGTGTGGGGTGTATGTGCACACAGAGTAAGTAGGTTAGGCCTTCCTGGTTCCAACAGCTCTAGGGAACTGAATGAACAGGAGGACAGGGAAAGCAAGTATGAAGTTCCACTAGTCTTTTAAGGGTAGGGCACAGATGGCTCTTAGGATCAGAAACCCAAACTTTAGATTAACACTTTCAAAGCTATTTGTATTTTCTAAATACACTAAAGTACTTTGTTTTTCTTGGTAATTAGCCAGGTTGCTCTTTAACATGTCAGGCAGATTCAGCTGTGCTAAGGAGAAACAAACTATGCATTTGGGCCACAGGTGGACTGGAGTTTTAGGAGCCAGTAACAGTAACAGCAGCAGGAATCAAAGTAAACAACCACCTTTAAATAAAGGGAAAGAAGTGCGAGGACAAGGAGACAGACAAAGATGAGGTTCAAATACAACCCTCTCTCCACATATGTGGGTAAATCTTCCTCTGGATCAAATGTTTGCTCTTCTTTTGTTTGTTTGTTTCAAAACACTTTCCTAAAAAATCCTATTTTCATAGGATGGCAGAATCAAAGTACTCCCAAGAAATACTAAGTAGAATCACCTCAATTTGTAGCCCAGAGATTAATTTAACAAAGATGTTAATACAATTGGGGATCTAAAATGGAGATTTTCATAACATGAAGTTTAAATAACTTTTAAAGACTCACCTGTAGGCTTAACTGAATAAAACCCAATGGCCTCTCCTTTCTTCCACAGAATCTTAGCATAATCAGTACTGCTATGACACAGAAATGGGATCTCATTTCTCTCCATTTCCTGTTTTCTATAAATAATTCGATTCAGAACATAAAGAACCACTCTCTCCCCAAGAGTGCTCACCTACAAAGAGAGTCAAACACCAGGCACAATTGTTATAACATGCATCGATTAGGAGATGCTATTTACCTTGCTCCCAGTTCCCATACCTCATACTGGCATTCAAAGCACGTTGAATACATTCAAAATAATTTGTAAACATTTTATTATCACAAAGATGAGGCTAATCATTCATATTGATTACAATCCATTTCCATACACACATATTATGCATGGAATACTACTATTCAGCAAAACTGTAAACCAGGCAAAACAAGGTCCCAATGTACCAATCCTCCGGCATCTCTTTCAGCACTTAATATCTTCTTTCTGCCACCAGCTGCTCAGATCCATGGTATCCCCAACTCTAACTGCAGCCCCCACTACATATACTGCTTACTGTTATCCCCTGAAGACTTTGAAAACAATTACCTCATCTGATGAGGGAAGCCATAATTATGCTCTTGGGAAAGGAATCTGTCTCATCTTTTCCAGGTAAAATATTCATTTAACAGCCTTGTCTTTGCTGTATAACTATAAGGAATATCCCAGCCCTATACATAGGGCTACATGGTCACACAGGACCATGGTGGTGGTCACAAGGACCTCACCAATCCCACAACTTACTGACATCAAAGAGTAGGTTTTTACCCATAGACACCTTTCACTGCTTAAAACAAGAGTTCTATACATAAAGTCTAGTTTCCTCCAAGTCACCTTAAAGGAAAACAAGTTCACCCTCTAGTTAGTTGAGTGGAGAGAGAAAGGATTAACCATATACATGCACTACTCTCAAAAATACCATTGGCAAGGGATATTCCACACAGAACAACACACAAAATGACAAAGAGCCCACTAGCACAACATTCCAAGGCAGCCTATTCCTTCTTTGTACAGCTATGACCAACAATTCTTCCTCATACTGAGCTGAATTCTATTTCCCAAAGGCTATATTTTGATATCCTGCAGCCACATAGCTTACAAATAATTTGAAGATAGCCATGATCTTCCCCTAAATCTCACACCGAAGTTAAACAGAGGAACAATTCAAGTAAAAGGCTAATCTAATGCAATTTGGGGTACTCTTGCCATTCCAGTCTTCTCCCTTGAAACTGCTTCTCTAAAATCTCTCTTCATGTCTGGCACATGGATATTATAAATACTAAAGGTGTTTTCTATATATATTGAGCTTTCTATATAACTTAAAGCTTTCTATGTAACTTTCTATATAAACTTAAATAAAAACTTAAGGTTTTTATTAGCTTTTTGCACTAACCTTGATTTTATTTCTAATAGAGCCCAACTCTTTTTCACATGTGCTGCCATTTCAGTTTAGTTTTTATGATGTACATGTACAGTTAATTTTTTTGAACTTGTAAGTATTACTTTATATTTCTCCCTATTTAATCTTATCATGTTAGATTCTTCTCTTTGTTTCTTAATTCTGCCTTTCACAGATTAGTTCCTGCATTCAGCACTATGACATGCAGAAGTGATATGCATGCCATCTACATCTTCTTTAAGTAACTGATAAAATGGTGACTGGGACAGAAAAAAGGATGAAGTTCTGCAGTACACTACTGAGGGCCTCCCATATAATTGAGCTCTACAGTTCAGGCACTGGGTTATGGTCTTTATCTCATTTAATTTTCACAACTATATGAGACAGAGGGACTTAAGGTTTACAAAAATATAGTGACTTGCTCAAAGTCATGTGTTTGTGAAGGAGAAGAACTGTTACTCTTTCCTGTAACTTTACCGACCAATTTTTCCTTATTAGCCAGGATCTGACTAGAAAAACAGTCCCCCTTTACTGATTTCTCTACTTTCAAGAAATGATGTTGTCACAAAGATAATTAAGGCTGAAGGAGTCCAAATAGTTACAGTCGTATTTTTAGTTTTGACTCCTCCTCTCTTGCCATATCTAGAGGCTCCATAGTTTCTTCACTTGAGTAGGACAGGCTACAATATACTTATACTACAATAATAAGATGTCACCTTCTCCATCCTTGAACCTTCACATCCAAATGTCCCCTGCAATGTGCCAAACCTCAGTCATGTTTAAACACCTCAGGGTGTTTATTTTCTTGGCATATTTGCTTCCTTTCGCTAACAGAACTGTTCCTGAGAACAAGTTATATTACTTTACTGCTATCTAGTACTCCAATTTTACAGCTTTATGTAAGTTTTTAATTCCCTTCTCCCCTTTGTTTTCTCTTCAAAGTTCTTTATCAGACTGGCAGATAGCCAGGTGTATGCATTCTCCTAGTCTTTGTGAGATGGGCCTATCACTCTAGAACCTCAAGGCACATTTGAGAATTAATGCAATATCCAGAAGTAAAAATGGTATGTGTATTATTCTCATATTCTCCTATCTCTTCCAAAGTTCCAAATTCAAAGGGAAGAAAGGAACACACAGTAACACCCAGTAACCTACAAGTTTCTCATTTTTCTATCCTGGATTTCAAAGTTTCTTGACATATTTTCCTTATTTCTTCTGATTGGTTCCACTGCCCACAAAAATGTACCTTGTAAATTTGGCAAATGTTTACAAGTTTAGCCTATCCTAGAAGCACTCCAAGGAAGAATATCAGAATACATATTTTCTGTTAAGTCCATTCCCTCAGCAAGAGTCTCTTCCTCTTAGGATTAATTAACAAGGATCCCTACACCTATTAATGAATAGTAGTGCTTCTCCAAAAAGTTAGTATTCTCCTTAATAAAGGTCTAATGTACCTCCACCAAGTCAAAAGTTTCCTATCCCTCCACTTTTACTGTAAATCACACTCTTCCAGCCACCAAATATTTTATCGCTTGTTTATTCTGCCCTGCCTCTTCAAATGTTTTACATCGTGGTTTCTGTGGATGTTCCCTCCAGCCTGTCCTATTTATCCTCCAATAACCAGAGCACCAGAGATGTCTCTTAAATGCTCTCACTTCTAGCATGAAAATCAGCTTCCCTCCTGTGACACTCCTTCGTCAGCTGGCTTCTACTATAACCCTGCAGAGGCTGGACGCTTGCTCTCTGCTGAACCTGGTTACTGCACTGTTTCAAACACTGTGTGGACCACGCAAGGAAGCCCTACTGATAAACAAGTTTCCTGATCAGTCTCTCCAACAGACAGAGAAGCTAAGCAACACACTAAGAGAACTAGCTTTTCCTTTACCAAATAAGAAAATCAGAAGCTAAAATGGATAAAGGCAGCCATAGCTCAACTAATCTATAGGTATTCATTCTTCCTCACCCAATTCTGAGATACTGTTAGAATCACATAAAACAGAGGAAGCCCAACCTGAATACCAGTTTCATTATAAGGATGAAAGTCTAGGGGTTCAATGTAACCTCATTATACTAAAACAGGGAAGAACCCATTAATTTCAAAATCTATCACTGTTTATAGGAAACACTGTGAAATAGTCCCATAAGACAGACTTTCAAAATTACAGGATCTTGTTACCTGCTTAAGCCCCTCTCTAGAAGGGGCAGATGTTTTCACAATATCATCAATAGCCCACCACTGATCAGCAAGGTAAAGTGCCACAGCTAAAACAGAATAAATAATCATTAATATTTACATTTTAAGATATACAATATTACTATTTGGTAAGGTTTATACAGACACTCTTTTTTGTGTGTGTGAGACAGTTTCATTCCATCACCCTGAGTAGAGTGCCGTGGCGCCAGCCTAGCTCACCGCAACCTCAAACTCCTGGGCTCAAGCGATCCTTCTGCCTCAGCCTCCTGAATAGCTGGGACTACAGGCATGCGCCACCATGCCCGGATAATTTTATATATTTTTATTTTTATTTATTTATTTATTTATTTTTTGCTTGTCCAGATAATTTCTATATATATTTTTAGTAGAGATGGGGTCTCACTCTTGCTCAGGCTGGTCTCGAACTCCTGAGCTCAAACAATCCGCCCACCTCGGCCTCCCAGAGTGCTAGGATTACAGGTGTGAGCCACCACGCCCGGCCTATATAGACACTCTTAAATATACCCATACTTTATAACACAATGTATGGGTGCTTCATCTATACTATTTTTATTTCATCCATTAAACATTTAATTGTAAGCAATTGAGAATTACATTTTCTTAAAATTACAACTTGAAACAAGTTTTTTAAAGAACAAATTCCTTCATATAGCTATCTTTTTAATAATTTCTAACAGTCTGAAGAAAAATTCCTTGACTTATAACAACTTAAACAAAAAGAGACCTGTCAGTGAATCCTCAGGCGAAAAAAGAGCAAGAATTTTCTGGGTCTGATCTCCACCATAAAGAGGTACAAAGCCTACATTTGATAGGCTAATAGGAATCTGAAATGACAATTAAAGATTAGTGAAAAGTCTGTTAAGAAAATACATGACAAAAAACACCAATTTTTTACCAAAGTATTAAATTTTCCTATTAATACATTAATTCTAGTTACATAGCTCCATTTCATAGAAAATGATGTCTCTAGTCTCTTTAAAAAAAAAAAAGAGTTAATCAGGTATCTATCTCCCTTTCGGAAGAATTTTATTGTCTTACAGAAAAAATGAAAATTTATTTCAATAAATATTACTGGGTTCCAGCCACACGCCTGAATTAAAACAAATGCCATGATATGACCCATAAGGCCATAAAAAAACTATAATCCATCATCAGTTTTTTAGCCTCTTTGAGAGGAACATATTCCATTTTCCACAAAAAGACAGCAGTTAGGTTCATTTATTTTTCCAGTGAGATATGTGCTTTTAACACGCTTTAACACTTTTCTTCCTTCGTTAATCCAACACTAATTCCCCACTTAGAGACTACATTACAATTCACTGAATTAGAAAACATTGCTGCTGGAGAAGACATTAAAAAAAAAAAAAAACAACTTTTAAATCGTCATCGTTTCCAAAAGAAAAATCTGAGGCCTAGAGAGGTTGAGGAATGTGCCCACCTCAGTTCATAGGAGAACTCTAATGATTCCAAGTCTAATGGTCTTCCTATCACAAAATATCATGGCTTACTGACAAGATAATTTGATTTTACTATTTTAGGAAGAGGAAGAATAGATTCATGACACAAGAATGTATAATTTCAAGTTTTTCTGCTATTTTTAAGTAAAAAAAAATTCTAATCACACAAATTCCATATCTAAATTAAATCTGAGTTAGTGCAAATAATAAACAGTCTTAGCAAAGCTGAAGAACTTCTCATATATAATTTCAAAGGCATAAAGACAAATACTAAGCAATAACCCCTGGAGTTTGTCTTTTTATTTTTTTTTTATTTACTTATTTTGAGTTTGTCTTTTTAAAACTGATCATGCTGCTCTATGAATCAACCAATATTTACCCATTTTACTGAACAGATTTCTGATAAAAATTTCAAAAGTGGCTAGTTAACACTTAAAGATGAATAAAAGAATATTGATTTCATATATAAACTGGACTGAAAAGATTGATAAACAACACTGCAGAACACCTTACCGTAATATTGAGAAGAGAAAAACACTCTGGATTGTCAGGGTCCCCACACCTTAAATCTGACATGTAATCTTCAGCAGAATTTTCCAGTTCCTCATGACTGCAATTATCCAGCATATCCACAGGGAATGCCATCCTCTTTAACAAACAAAATGGAACAAAACATTTCAGAATATGAAATGCCATCTTCCTTTACTCATAGAAAAAAAATTTTACTGTAATATTGCCATATATTATTGTAACAAGACTTTCCTATTTCACTATGCCATGACTGACTACAACTTGAGCCTGCTGATTCAATCAGGTATGTCAAAAACAAAGCTTTTAAACATAATTCATTTGTATTAAAAACAGGCAACAGAGGCCAGGAGTGGTGGCTCACGCCTGTATTCCCAGCACTTTGGGAGGCCAAGGCAGGAGGACTGCTTGAGGCCAGGAGTTCAAGACCAGCCTAGGCAACAGCGAGACCACGTCTCTACAAAATTTTTTTAAAAATTAGCCGGGCATGGTGGCATGTATGTGCCTGTAGTCCCAGCTACTCAAGAGGCTGATGTAGAATTGCTTGAGCCTAGGAGTTTGCGATTGCAATAAGCTATGATCAGGCTACTGCACTCTAGCCCAGGCAACAGAGCAAGACCCTGTCCCCCCAAAAATAAATAAATAAAAAGCAGGCAATGAAACAGTAACAGATACTTCCTTAAATGATAAAAATACATATATTTATACAGGTATAAGACATAACCATAAGCAGATACACACAAAAATAATGCATATAAATATGCCACATAAAACCACTTAACATAAAAGTCACTGTAAAAGGACACAACGGAATTTTTTGTAATAATGAAAATCTTCTACAATTGGATGGTAGTAATGGTTGTACAACTCTATAAATTTACTTTAAAAAAAAAATCAACCCTATAAACTTACTGAGAAAAAAAATCACTGAATTGCAGTTTCAATAGGTTCAGTGTCATGGTATGTAAATTATATTTCATACATATATAGCTGTTTAAAAAAACAAAGTCCAGTACTTTAATGGAGCAACACCAAAGGCTTTCCCACTCACTCTGGGAGGCCGAGGCTGGAGGATCATTTGAGCTCAGGAGTTCGAAATCAGCCTGAGCAAGAGCAAGACCCCATCTCTACTAAAAAAAAAGAAAGAAATTAATTGGCCAACTAAAAATATATAGAAAAAATTAGCCAGGCATGGTGGCGCATACCTGTAGTCCCAGTACTCAGGAAGCTGAGGCCAAAGGATCTCTTGAGCCCAGGAGTTTCAAGTTGCTATGAGCTAGCTAGGCTGACGCTGCGGCACTCTAGCCCAGGCAATAGAGTGAGACTCTGTCTCAAAAAAAAAAAAAGGAAAAAGAAAATGCTTTCCCACTAAAGTCAAGAAAAATAAGGACTCCACTACTATATATATGTAGGCAACGGTCTATATGCAATTAGACAAGAGAAAGCAATTAGAGACATAAAAACTGTGGCTGGGGGCAAGATGAGAAGGAAGAACTATTCCTTTCTACTATTAATATTTTCAAATAATATACTTAATTGAAAATCCTAAAAGAATCCATGAAAAAAACTATTAATATTCCAAATAATAAGAAAATTTAGTAAAATAGGAGGATATAAAATTAGTATACAGAAATCAAGTCTTCATATATATAATAATAATAGCAAGAGGAAATATGGAATGAGCAAAAAGTAAAAACAGAAAAGAAGACCTCATTTACAATAGCAAAAGTCAAAATACGCTTAAATTTAACAACCAAAAACAGTAAAAACCTGTATGAGGAAAACTCTAAAACATTCCTGAAAGAAGTGAAATAGGCCGGGCGTGGTGACTCACGCCTGTAATCCTAGCTCTTGGGAGGCCGAGGCGGGCAGATTGCTCAAGGTCAGGAGTTCAAAACCAGCCTGAGCAAGAGCGAGACCCCGTCTCTACTATAAATAGAAAGAAATTAATTGGCCAACTAATATATATACAAAAAATTAGCCGGGCATGGTGGCGCATGCCTGTAGTCCCAGCTACTCGGAGGCTGAGGCAGGAGGATTGCTTGAGCCAGGAGTTTGAGGTTGCTATGAGCTAGGCTGACGCCATGGCACTCACTCTAGCCTGGGCAACAAAGCGAGACTCTGTCTCAAAAAAAAACAAAAAAACATGATACAGACAGACAGATGAATGGAATAAGATATAAAAATACACACTAATGCCAATGGAAATTGACTATATGATAAAGGAGATCTCTCAATCAGTGAGGAAAAGACTTTTTGGATAGTATTGTTTCACTGATCTTATGTTTTAATGAGACATTAATTTTGCTCATTTTTGAACTTATTATATCTGGAATCATTATGTTCTCCATTGTGTTAACTCTTTTCACTCAACATTATTTCTGTGAGAAACATGCATGCTATTGCATCTATCAGTTAATTTGTTCCTTTTTATTGCTATGTAGTATTCCTTCATATACAAATACAATTTATTTACCCATTCTACTGCTGCTGGACATTTAAGCTGCTTCCAACATTTGACAATTATGAATAAAGCTGCTATGAGCATTCTTGCATGGGTCTTTTGGTGGACATGGTGGCACTCACTTTTGTAAGCCTGTATACCCAGGCTAACCAATCTTGCTAACAGTGAGACAAGAAAATCGCATCCTGATGTGATGCAACAAGAAAACTGGACCCAGATTTAACCAAGCCACTAGATAAGTATGCTAAATGATGTCTTAAGTATGTAGTCAGCTAAATTTAGAATAACTAAATTTCTTCAATAAATATATGGCATGGAGTTAAAAGAAAAAGGTAGCACTCTAGCCTGGTAGCACTCTACCCTGTCTCAAAATGAAAAAAGAAAAAATGTAGAGTGGAAAGCAATATAAATTAAACGTAACATAAGAGACATATCAATCAAATGCATTGTGGAGAGTATACCACTTCGTTTATTCTTGAAAGTTTTCCACGATAAAGAGGTAAGTAAAAAGTAACTTATGATCTATGTCAAATACTGAACTACTAGTTCTTAAAGGGGGTAAAAACAAAGCTAGTAAAGTTGACTATTTCATATTTACCCAAAACAAAAACTGCAAAGCCCACTTCCTGCAATTGTCAACAACCTCTTCAAATTTTGCTTTAAAAGTTATAAAAGGAGAAGCTGAAGAAAATTAACTGATCAACTAAAAATTATTAATACTTTCTTCTTGAAATGACCTTCAAACCCATTTTATCACAACAAAGTATTAGAAGGCAAGGAACTGAAAATCTAATGGAAACATGAGATTGACACATTAAAAAAAGATGAAAGACATATATAAGTTATATATAATTGAATACATTTTTCTGAATTTTGAAGACACAATCATGATAATGAGAGGAACTATTTTTTATCCTAATCTAAAATCTTGGCCCTAGTTTTTTTTCTTTTTTTAGTAAAATCTTCTTCCTTTGTGTATGCTTTTTAATCTCATCTTTATTCTAGTCCATCTTTGTTACATCTTTATCAACATGGGAAATTGGGAGAAGGAAAAGTTCCCTAGGGAGTCTTTGTTAGCAACTAGAAAGTAAATCTCTTATAGAGAGAAGACCTGCTCCTTTGAGGTTAGTAGGCATTTTTCAGAACTCTTTGTTGGGAGAACCAGGGGAACATAGGCAAATATAGGCAAATGACCTTCTGGGGGTCCTTGGCCAGGGATCTGTCCCACTGACTGCATAGACTGCTTGACCCTAGAGTCCTTACAGAGACCCTCAAGGAGAAGTATGTCCTCCTCTTATGACCGGAGTCTAGGAATCTACATGGGTTAGGAGAATTACTTTTTCTTTGTCAGCCTAGGGACTATCTCTGATTTTATTTTCTTTTGTTTTTTTATTTATTTATTTTTTTTGAGACAGAGTCTCACTTTGTTGTCCAGACTAGAGTGAGTGCCGTGGCATCAGCCTCGCTTACAGCAACCTCAATCTCCTGGGCTCAAGTGATCCTCCTGCCTCAGCCTCCCAAGTAGCTGAGACTACAGGCACGTGCCACCATGCCTGGCCAAGTTTTTCTATATATTTTTGGTTGGCCAATTAATTTCTTTTCTATTTTTAGTAGAGACGGGGTCTCGCTCTTGCTCAGGCTGGTTTTGAACTCCTGACCTCGAGCAATCCGCCCGCCTCGGCCTCCCAGAGTGCTAGGATTACAGGTGTGAGCCACCATGCCTGGCCTAAAAGACATTTAAATATACCATATCATTGACTAGATGAAGCTCAAGAGGATTAATATCACAGTATGCACCTTAAAGCAACTGAAAAGATTCATTTGAATATTTGTTACCAAAATAAGGTATGTACAGAGTACTTTTAAAAGTTTCAATAGCTAAGATTAATCATAACTTGTAGGATAAAATATAAATTAATATTTGAAGACTGCCGCCAAAAATTTTGTCTATAAAAGCACAGCTGATTACAACCACATAAATATGGCAGTCTAGATAAAGAATACAATATGACATATTAAAACAAAGAGTTTGAAAGAACAGCCAGTTTATGGGTAATTTTTCATCTATTGTTACTATGATATTATGGTTCTTAAAAGATTTAAAATGCTAATGTCATGTTTAAAATTCTAAACATGTATTTTTTTAGTTTTATTATTGAAAAGGAGAAAATTCTATTAAATATGCAAACTAGGTCATCTGAATAACAAACCTAATGGCATAACATAGAATCAGAGAACTTTAGGGTAGCAAGCAATCTTAGAGGTCTTGGTTTCTCATCTAATGTCCTTTAGATAAGAGCCACATAGAGGCCCACCCTGCTAGTTCATGGCAGAGGTTGAATCTGGAATTCAGGTCAGGTCTTCCTGGCCCACTGATCTTTCCTGTATCCTAGCATTGCCCAAACATCTATAATTTGCATACCATCATCAATATTTTTCTCTGTGTCAAGTGCCTATAACACTATGTAATATTTTTCTCAACTCACTTTTTAAAAAATCTACACATACACTCCCTCATCCCATTCCTACCCCTCTGTTTATAATTGTAATAAAATATACATAATGAAATTTACTATTTTAACCATAATTCAGTGTACAATTCAGTGGCAGTAAGTACATTCATAATGTTGCACAACCATCACCATTATCCATTTCCAGAACTTTTTCATCACCCTAAACAGAAAGTCTATACCCATTAAACAATAAGTCCCCGTTCCTCCCTCCCCCCCAGCCCCTGGTAACCTGATTTATTTTCTGTCTCTATGAATTTGACTATTCCAGGAAGCTTATAAGTAGAATTGTACAATAATTGTCCTTTTGTGTCTAGTTCATTTCACTTTGTATCATGGTCTCAAGGTTCATACACGTTGTAGTAAATATCAACTCATTCTTTTTTAGAAACATTCATCCTAAACTATTAAGACCTATGAAACCACCAATTTGATATATTAGATTATACATTTTCCTAATCAGCATTAAAATTCCTATCATAATTTAAACATCCACCTAAATACCATCTAAAAATATCTCCTAAGTCACTGGTACACACATCAGAAAGCACATTTTATGTATGGGGTTGCTTGTCACAAGAAGGCACTCCTATACATCTAAGGCAAGCAGAACGTGACTAAGTGTGAAAACAGAAATTCATTATCCTTCCTTCTTAAATCTTTTTAGACTGAGGTTTTTAAATTGAAAAATAATAACTTCTGAGCTTATTTTTCTTACTGCCAGAGAGTATTCTTTTATTTATATTCAAAATTTTATTTAAATACAAAACAACCCTGTTTCCCTAACTCTGACAATCTAGATACTCTCAAATTGGCATACAGAAGAGCACTGAGGGAAAAACCCCTTAGTCAGAAGTCATGTTTTTTGAATACAGTTTAAAAACAACTGTATTCCCGAAATTTTTTAATATGGAAAAAAAACTGGGAAAGATTTCCTTAATTACAAAGGCCTGGGCGCGCATGCACGCACACGCGCGCGCACACACACACACACACACACACACCCCTTCTAAAATATGTCTGTGTTTTGCGGATCTGTCCTTAAATCCATTATTTTCATTACCAGTCACTTTCAATGTGAAATTTTATTAGAATTTAAAGGAAGATGAAATAACTAGAAATTATTATAAATCAGTAACAGAAACAGATAACATCTGTTATATTATTATAAATCAGTAACAGAAATTATTATAAATCAGTAACAGAAACAGATAACAACAGAAGTGTCCATATACCAGGCTTTAAAGAGACTATCACATTTAATATATAACAAGATACTCCTAAACTTTAGTATTTAAGACATTGACTAACACAACACCACTAGTGTGGCTAGAAGAATATAAATCCAGGCAATCAGATATACTTTCCAATATAACCATTTGTATTCAATATGGAAATTCAAATATCATAGTATTTGTCAAAGTTATACAAAATGTCCTTTTGTAAAATACTATAATTACATTATTAAATATTCTATCCACAGATTGTACTAGAAAGTACACTGGTATTGGAATTCTATGACCTTGGTTCCAGGGTCAGCTCTGCTACTAACTAGTTTTATGACCATAGGCAAGTTACTTACCCTCTTTAGGCTTCTGTATTCTCATTGGTAATGTGATGCAACTGGACAAGATAATCCTAAAGACCTTTTCACCTCTAAAGGCTTACAATTATTTTTTTAAATATTCGTTAATTTAAGACCATGTAAATTACTGGCCTTACGGTGGTTCTGCTATTATAGTTTAAAGAGGCAGGGGAATGGTGGTAAGGTTTGGAGAAAAATATAGATTGTTATGATAAATCCCTTGCTTCTCCCTCTTTTTTGTTGTTTTTAAGCTTCTATTCCATGTTACATAACTGTAAAGCTGTCAGATCAAATTCTGTCAAGTACTTTATGCTCTGCCCATGAGATAAACCAAAAGGCCTAACTAGATTCTACATGAATGAGAAAGCTCAATGTAGCCTTAAGCGAACTAACTCATCAAAAAAAAATTGACGCAGAATGTCCAATGAAATGTAAAAAGTGTCCAAATTAATTTATAAATTAAGCAAATGGTATGCTCATTAATCCTGGCTAACCTGTATAAAAACATAATACCAAGACCTCTTACATAAGGGCTCTAAGATGCCCATCAGCTACATTGTATCTATCTTTCAATAACGTCATCCCTTCCCCCCAAAAAAAATCATATAACCATTTGAAACAATGAATGCTCTTAATAAGAAAAATATAAAAAAAGTTAAAGAAATTTCTATTATTGTGATTTTCATCTATTTATTGTTAACTACTGGATGTCACCTATACTCTAAAATGAGGAACATTCTCTGGGAAAGAGAAAGAGTAAAAAAAAAAATAAAATAAAATAAAATAAATAATAAAATGAGGAACATAATCTACATGCTCAGTTCCTAAATTAGTCCATGATTCTTATGGGTTACTGCTATTGTTTGAGGGCTTTAGAGGGAGAGGCAGATCCAAAAGGAGTTAAGGACATTTTAGAGCTGAAAGAATTCTAAGAGAAAAAAAAAATCATTATCTTAACCAATCCGAGACACGAACCTACCTCTCACGATTGTTTCTCCAACACCGAGAATAGGTTAGGTATCCAGGCAACATAATCGGCAACACTCTCAACCTTTTACACAGAAAATCTCTTTCTGAACATTATGATTCTTCTCTTGATTTCATCCTTTTTCTCTTTTCTCCCTAACATCATTTCCTTCCCTAACTAACCTAGGCCCTGCAATATATCAGCTCAGCTGATCTCTTTAACTTACTAACCTCTTATTCTCCTAGCCCTCCTGCCCTACACAAGGCCCTGAATCCTAGATTCATCCAACCACTCACCTTTTCTAGTCTGAAAGCTGAGTTTTTGGGTATGATAAAAATAAAATATCTGAACAGACTACTACAATTATCAAAATCTCAGATGGGCCTCAACAATGCTCAGCAATCCTTTTCTGTCCTCTGGGAAAGGAAAAATACTTAATTACAAATGGGTGAGGACTGCCTGTAAGTTTGTAGATAATGGAGCAGGAAGTTAAACAGGATTCATACTGGTTGCCTCATTCTTTTCAAGTAGGAAGCAAAACCATCTTTTGAAGTAATAGTTGGTAACCCAATAGTGGACTACATACAAGGGTCTATTCTATTAATAAACACTTCACATGTATTCCCTGATACAGCTTTTATTGAAAACCTATGAGGCAAGTGCTTTATCTTTGCTTGGCAAACAAGGAAACAAAGACACAAAGCAGTTGAGTAACTTGTTCAAGGACATACTACGAGTAAGCAACAGAAAGAATTTGAACCTAGGCAGTCTGACTCCCAGGTCCATTTTTTCAATCACATCGGTATGCCTGAAAACAGCATCTTAGGCAGCCCTAAAATGGTTGAAGATTGCTTAATGCATATCAGCAGAAGTCTTACAAATGCTCTTTCCAACTAAAGGTTTAATTCCTCTCAATATCCAGGAAAATCCTCATTGATAAGAAATCATTTAAACATGAAGGCACTGGGTGTTTGGTATGGCTTAGGCCCTCAAAAGCAAAATCCAGTTATATGGGCCAGGATGGTGTGTGTGAAAGGTAGTGTAAAACACTATGCTCCTGCAGTGGCTCACACGTGTAATCCTAGCACTCTGGGAGGCCAAGGCCGGTGGATCATTTGAGCTCAGGAGTTCAAGATCAGTATGAGCAAGAGTGAGAACCTGTCTCGACTAAAAATAGAAAGAAATTAGCTGGACAACTATAAAAATATAGAAAAAATTAGCCGGGCATGGTGGCACATGCCTGTAGTCCCAGCTACTCGGGAGGCTGAGGCAGGAGGATTGCTTGAGCCCAGGAGTTTGAGGTTGCCGTGAGCTAGGCTGAGGCCCCAGCACTCTAGCCTGGGCAACCAGTGAGACTCAGTCTCAAAAAAAAAAAGAGTGTGTGCTCCTGAGGCAAACTGAGAGGATTACTAGCTGTGTAACCATGGGCAAATTACTTAAACATATAGAGGAAAACAATCTCTGGTTAAGGAAAGAATAAACTATAACTAATAACTGAATATATATTAAAAATTTTGCATCTAAAAATAAAAAAAAACAGAGGTAAATTATAACTAGTATGACCTATATACACTAATACCTTAATACAGATAAATAATGCAATGGTTTTTTAAAGCTAAGATGAGCATAAATAAGCAAAAGGCATGAACAGACAATTCATACAAATGGAAAAACAAACACCAAAAATATTCAACGTTTTTTTTGCCCCCCCCAAACTTTTTTTTTAAGCCTATTTACACATAGTTTTTTAAACAGATTGATATGTTCGTACAGAAAAGTGTGGAAAGGCACACATTATGTTGTTAACAATAGTTACTTCTGGTGAGGTGAAGGAAAAAGAGGGAGACACAAGGGGAAGAAAGTCAATTCCATTCAGAGCCTCTATCCTCCAGGAAGCTCACTTTCTAGTGCAGCAATCTTGGCTGTATCTGATAGGCAAAATGTAGGCTGAAGGCCTGCATCCTACCTCCAAAGGATACAGAATATGAATTTGGGGGGTTCTACCTTATGGGGCAAAGCAGGACTCACAAGGCTGAAATTAAACTCATAATCAAAGGTATTTCAAAAGTGCTTGACAGAACACAAAATAAATACTCAATTCCCATACCTAGGAATGGATGAAAAATCCTTATCTTTACCCTCTATACTAGAAGAGCTGAATATAGAGAATGCTACTTACACTCCTCAGATACACTTGCAAAGTCTAGCAATAAATTAACAGATATTTAAGACAGAAACAAACACAAATGGGCTTGTAACTAAGAAGCTACCATTTGACCCTATTACATACTGCACTGCAGTAAACACCACATCTGTCTCAGGAGCACATCAGCAACTCTGCAAGCCCATAATCCAGACCACTGAGCACTGTTCATAATCTCACAGAAGCAGCTAACGAAGCTCAGAAAAGACAAAGTAAGAACTATTTAAATGAATAAACCATAAAATTTTGTCCATTTCAACATCAGACAATTAATCTAAAATCCCTTATTCTATACCTGGCTTCTTTACCATATATCTGACATTACAGGGCTTTATTAACATTAACAGGGGTTAGCATAGTGAGCCTCAAGGATATAAACAATTTTTTTAAACAGTAGTATAAACTACAGGCTCATTGTTGTGGACATCTTTAACATAAAATATCACAGAGATTTGTCTCATTTAGAACAATGACTATGAATGTTTTCAATTTAAAGGAAGCATATCTAACTCTCAACAAAGCAAAAACAAAACTTGAAATTGAATTTTGGCATACCATTTATGAAATATTCTGCTGAGTCACAATCACCACCACCACTGATACGATTCCCTAATATTTTCACTAGAAAACTAAGAAATGTAACCAAAAGTTGCCACTATCTGCAGAGTATCACATCAATTTAGAAAAACAGCAGCCTCTGAATCACGGGCTTGCTATTTCTGTCCTTCCCAGGCCTCTGCATGTGGAGCAATGGTCTCAGACAATCTGTTCTTGCTACTCTCTTGCAAACTCAGGTGGGCTTATTCACTCAGATTCAGTAAAATTCTTTTCTTACCTCTTATTGGCAGTAGGCCCATAGGAAAAACAGAAAAGAGATAGTAGTAAGCTTATCTAACTTCAAAACATATTTATTAAATAAATGACTAAATAAAAGTTTGTATAAATAAACCACACACTAGTGCTACAATGAAAAGCTGCCACAGATGAACATTCAAGACTAGACAAAAAGGAATAGATAGGCCACGCCTGGTGGGTCATGCCTGTAATCCCAGCACTCTGGGAGGCGAGGCTGGAGGATTGCTTGAGGTAAGGAGTTCAAAACCAGCTTGAGCAAGAGTGAGACTCCATCTCTACCAAAAAAAAATTAGAAAAAATTAGGCAAGTGTCATGTTATGCACCTGTAGTCCCAGCTACTCGGGAGGCTGAGGCAGGAAGATCATTTGAGCCTAGGAGTTAAAGGTTGCAGTAAGCTACAATGACACCACTGCACTCTATCCGAGGCAACAGAGCAAGACTCTCTCAAAAAAAAGAAAAGCAATAGATGGTCTTTCAACAGGCAGAGATAGAGGGGAAGGCCTCAAAGAGAAGGAACATGCTAAATGGAAGACAAAAAGCATACAAAGAATGGCAAGTAGTTGGATTTACCAAGAGAGTTAGGGGTTGCAAAGACAAATGGTGGTAGAAATACTAGGAATATAAATTGAGGACAGAACACAGCAAGCCAATAATCCCAGACTAAGAGTTTGGACTTTATTTGGTATACAAGGCCATTAAGGGATGTTGAGCAGGGAAGAGACATTCAGGCTATGCTTTAAGACAATTTATCTGGTAGCTATGTATAGGATGGATTGACAAAAAAATGAAGGGAGACAAGTAGAGGGACTGCCATGGTAAATACCTTGTGCATAATTCTTTTAATGTACTTATCACATAACAAAACAACACATAAAAATGTGATTCATTTTTCTTCATCTGTCTATCCTACTAGGCTCAGAATTCCAGGGAGGCATTTTTCCACATGTAAAAAGTAGGGATGGGACAAAGAAACGATTTCTGATAGGCATTCTAATTAATAACTTAAAGGTCTATACCTATATAAGTGCTTTTTTCCTTCAAAGCACTTACAGGCCAGGCATGGTGGCTCACACCTATAATCCTAGCACTTTGGGAGGCAGAGGTGGGAGGATCACTTGAAGACAGGAGTTCAAGATCAGCCTAAGCAACATAGCAACACCCAATCTCTACCAAAAAAAAAAAAAAAATTAGTTGGGCATGGTGACGCATACCTGTAGTTCCAGGTACTCGGGAGGCTGAGGCGGGAGGATCACTTGAGCTCAGGAGTTTGCAAGTTGCAGTGAACTAAGATCATGCCACTGCACCCCAGCCTGGGTGACAGAGTGAAACTTTGTCTATATATTTAAAAAATAAAAAACTAAAAAGCATTTAAAGCTATATAGCTAATTTGGAGATAGAAGCTAGGAAGTAAGGTCTTGACTTACAAAGGGTAAGTAACATCCTTAAATTTTCATTTATAATCATTTTTTTTTTTGAGACAAGAGTCTCGCTTTGTTGCCCAACCTAGAGTGAGTGCAGTGGCGTCAGCCTAGCTCACAGCAACCTCAAACTCATGGGCTCAAGCAATCCTCCTGCCTCAGCCTCCCAATAGCTGGAACTACAGGCATGTGCCACCATGCCCGGCTAATTTTTTTTTTCTATATATATTAGTTGGCCAATTAATTTCTTTCTATTTATAGTAGAGACAGGTCTCGCTCTTGCTCAGGCTGGTTTCGAACTCCTGATCTCAAGCAATCTGCCCGCCTCGGCCTCCCAGAGTGCTAGGATTACATGCGTGAGTATAATCATTTTTTTAAACACAGAATGTGATTTCTGATGATAAGAGAACCACCATTTACTGATTCCTTGCTTATCTTGCACCTGGCATTATGCTAAATACCCTACAGTATCTCGGTTATTCCTCAAAATGATTCTGTGAAGCAGGTATTCCTATATACATTTTCTGAATCAGCCTCAGGTATGGAGAGTTAAGTAAACTGCCCAAGTTCACATACTAGGAAGTGGCAGGGTTTGGCTCTGATCCTAGGTGATCTGTCCCAGAGAGGTATAACTTGGTGGCGGTTCCCACGTCAAGACAAAAGGTCAATATAATACATGATGTATTTAAGCGTAATACAATTGTTATAGAATATAACAACCATATTAATCAGTCATTCCTTCAGAGTTAGATTTTTTTTTTAATAAATAAAAGGGAAACAAAAACTGACAAAGTAAAAGGCCTACCAAATATCTTTAACAAGTTACTCCAAAACAGAGCTGGGGAAAAAATGAAATTCACTAAGTTGCATGATAGTTTTTAATTATCCACTGCTGAAGGACAAGTAAGACCTTGAAATTTAGATTTATACTAAATTCTAGATTCAATATGAACCATAACCAATTTTTTGTTTTGTTTTTTTTTGAGACACAGTCTTACTTTGTTGCCCGGGCTAGAGTGCTGTGGCGTCAGCCTAGCTCACAGCAACCTCAAATTCCTGGGCTCAAGCAATCCTTCTGCCTCAGCCTCTCGAGTAGCTGGGACTACAGGCGTGCGCCACCATGCCTGGCTAATTTTTTCTATATATTTTTAGTTGGCCAATTAATTTCTTTCTATTTTTAGTAGAGACGGGGTCTCACTCTTGCTAGGCTGGTTTCAAACTCCTGACCTTGAACGATCCTCCCACCTCAGCCTCCCAGAGTGCTAGGATTATAGGAATGAGCCACCACGCCCGGCCCATAACCAATTTTTTGTTAAGACAAAATAACTACAGAATAGGGCTTCATTATGAGTTTATAACTTTCCAGATCCAAAGATAGAAAAATATCCCTGTATTTTTCATGCATTAGACAGCATCTGCAGTGGTTAATCCACTCTGGTGGGCACATTTTAAGAAAAAAATCACATTAAAAAACTGGAATGCTTTCAATGGAAAACACCAGGATAACAAAGGATCTTGAAACCATGGTACAGTAGATGAGGAACAGAAATGGAAGAAATAACTCTCACTGGAAAAGAGAGGCAAGAAAACTACCTTCCAATATTTGAAGAAGCAATATGCAGATGAAAACTAGGAC